GGTTCAATACCTGTTTGATAGCTGTTTGATCGCGGTTCAATAGCAGTTTTACACATCAAATCACCGAAAGTCAATGGCGCGATATCATTTTCATGAATATGTCTCGCGGTGACTTCATGGCACACGTGCAAAACTGCACATTGTAGATTTTTCGGAAGGCGCAATTGTATGGATGCTGAGATCATGATGAAATTAGATATGATAAACAAACGATGTGACAATAGTGAAATGTAGAAGGATGAATTTGAAGGTACGCCCAGTAGTCAAGGACTAGAAGTAAGAGCAGTCGGTTGGCGTGCTTGTTTGTGCGACTTATACAATTCGTTTGCCATCTTAAGACAATTAAAACATTTAAAACATTAGATTTAAACCACTTAAAACATTAACTTTAAACGGGAAGAAAAGAGGCTATAAGGGTCAAACGCGGTTCTTCTTGCGTAATGTCTCATTTATTCCATTGTTATCGCTGAGGATGGCTCGAAATTGAGCCGAAACGTTTGAAGTTATATCCAAGAAGATGAATAAATGAGACATTACGCAAGAAGAACCGCGTTTGACCCTTATAGCCTCTTTTCTTCCCGTTTTGTTAATTTTCGAGAGTCTGTTTACGATTTATTAAATTTAAAGTAGTAAGTGCAAGTGGAAAAAATGGATTTCGAAAAATTGCGCTTTGAAGGAGAAGAAAGAATGGAAGTTGAAGCAAACAAGGAAGAAATTGAAGTAAATGAAGAAATGGAAGTAAATGAAGAGGAAGGAATGGAAGTTGATGATGATGATGCTGTATTGTCAGACGATTCATGTTCTGATAGTGAAATGTCTGAGGATGTTTCGGAAGAAATATTCAGAGTCATGAATCAGGCTGAAGTCAATGCGTTAAATCCTCTTACAAAGATGTGCTGCACGTATTTTTACTTTACTCCAGGACAGACAAAGTTTTGTGCGTCATGCATCGTGCGAATCGGTGGATTATTTTCGATGCTGTATGTTTGTCGTAAACACGACACCAGGCGGTATATTCTGATGAACGGCCTCTTTTGTCCATCGTGCGGGGGCCCACTATATCTCATTTTAACATGTAATATGTGTCCTATGTGTGTTTTCATGTAAATATTGACTGTTAGATTGCAGTATTTTTAAACATATTTTAAGTGTATATTATCTAAAATTAAGAGACCTATACTGCTAAGAGACTAACAATAAGTGTAACAATAAAAAGACAATCAATGTTGTGTCACACACACACACACACACACACACACACACACACACACACACACAC